CTCCACATATTTATCCACAGCTGTTTTTAATTTTAGTTCCGTTCATGGTTTGTTTCTATTTGCCATCTATTAATGTACGGAGCGTGACGTCACTAACAGCTGGAAACAGTTGATACAATGTTCGCCTTTCGAGAAGATCACCGCAAGAAGCCGCAGAAAATATAAATGAAGCCGCTGAATTAGACATAATGATGTTAACAGCAGAATTTTATTTGTAAGATTTGAGGCTTTCACGGCGGTGACTATGAAGAAAGCAGTCTTCTGGGATTTGGCACCGTGTATATGTGGTGTTAACCGACGTTTCGGAGGAACGTATCGCCTCTATCTTCAGGGTAGAAGAAAAAATATAAGAAATCTGCAAGCGAGGAGACCGTGAGAACCGGTAAAAGCAGACAGTCTGCTTTTATCGGTTCTCATGGTCTCCTCGCTTGCAGATTTCTTATATTTTTTCTTCTACCCTGAAGATAGAGGCGATACGTTCCTCCGAAACGTCGGTTAACACCACATATACACGGTGCCAAATCCCAGAAGACTGCTTTCTTTCAGAATTTTATTTCCTTAACGCAGTTTTGATATGAATATGTTATATATATTCCACTAATTTAATAAAACAGTTGTTTTATAACCAACAAATCAATTGAACATGACTTAAACGAATAATAATTATTATTATTATTATGATCAAATACTTAATTTCATTATCCAATATGGGCTCTATATATTACTCTGAATAAGGGTGGCCTCTTCTGCTCTGTCGGTTATGTTGTAGCTATTCAGCATACACTATTCGCTGTTGTGTGTATATGTGTGCATGTAGAATTCTCGAAAGTTTAAATTGTCACGATAGTTGATTGTCTCGTCATTAATAGAAAATAACAATGAAAAGCAAATGTAGTGGAATTTGCAAAAGCAAATTCAACTTGAAGTGCTGATTGTGCAATTGCCAGCAGTCTACTAATTTTGTTGAAAGAAATGCTACCGGCCCTAGTTCTCAATCTCATTCCCAGACAAGAAAAATGAATGTAAGGTTATTCAGTGAAGGTTGTTTGAAATGTGTTTCCGTCAGTTGCGCAAACAAAAATAAATTACAGACTCAAATGCGTTACTTTTAATTAATATTTTGAAAATGAAAATTGAAAGAACATCATGAAGAAAAAGACATTTGAGACAAGGGACACAGAAATTTAGTGGTGAAATTTTCAAATATTTTCAAAGAAGAAAAATAGATTGCAAATTACCGGCGCAATTTCTTAATCACTCTGTTGCTCTTAATGATCGAGTATCTATCTTTTATTTGGAAATAATGTGGCAAAAGTCAGAGTGAAATGGTCACATAATTGCCGAAAAATGTTTTTCGATTTGTTACTGGTGCAGAACTTGCAGTTTTGATTAGATATCTGTTGAAAATTAAGTAAACTACACTTGTTAGTTCTAACAAAATACCTAGGATACGTGATGTTTCAGGACAATCGGAAACAGTGAACATTACTGAGTTACGGTCTGGAATTGATTCTGCGAGATCCATCTTGACGAGAGCACTGATTTTTCAAATTTTCAATAACTTCTTTTAGCAGGCAGTTTCTGCGTAAAACATGACCAATCCAATTAGTTTTCCGTTTTCTTATTTCGTGTAGGATATTCTTCTGCTCACTGACTCTAATTAACACTTCTTCATTTCTCACATAATCGGTCCAACTGATCTTCTCCAACTCATCTTCTCCAACACCACATTTCGAAACTTTCCAGATGTTTCTGATCTACTGCCCTAAGTGTCCATGTTTCAACTCCATACAGAGCTATGCTCCAAACATAGCATTTCACTAGTTTCTTCCTCAAATTTAAGTCCTGTTTGCTGTAAAAAGATTCTTCTTCTTGCTAAATGCAGCTTTTGCCATGGCAATCCTGGATTTAACTTCACTAGTACACCTTGCATCATCTGTTAACAAGCTACCCAAATATTTAAAACATTTCAAATTCTCCAGTTATTTTTGGTCTACCTTTATTGTGACTGGGGTTGGTTGTCTCGAAATTTTCATTACTTTTGTTTTCTCCACATTCATTTCCATGCCAAAGCACCTTCCAATTTCAATTTGTCTATCAATCATGCCCTGTAGCACAGTTTCTTCCTTAGCCAGTAACACAAGGTCATCTGCATATTTCACAGTTTGAATAATTTGACCTAATTTGAAGTCTCCGAGCCCATCCAGAGCTTCCTTGGTAAGGCATTCGCTGTACAAGTTGAACAGAATTGGTGATAAACAGCATCCTTGTCGAACTCCTCTTCCATTTGTAAAATATGAGCGGAAAAATGACGGTTTACTCTGTTGTTTAAATTTACCTCCAAACACAAATGATTTAGCCACATTCGCAGCATTGGGATAATGTATAGATGGATAATGTTAAGTTACACTAGACAATAGAAAATAATCATCAAACTGTGTTGCAAGTATAGCAGGAAGACATGGTGACATTTTTAAAAGGTTGTTGGAGACAAGCAATGTATTTCCTGTTCCAGAAGCTTTGGCTTCAAAGGGTGTTCTCTATAAAATTACGGGAATCCTGAAGGAAGAAAAAAATATTAATTTGATTACAGGATTGTCACCGAATAAACAGATTTTTAAATATTTTTTCTTCGAGGAATCGAGTTAATCATGAAGTGCTAACCGGAATGCATGAATCTAAAACAAGTTATACAATTTCCTGGTCGAGAAAAGAGCCCGGTTAAAAGGAGGTTATCTATGATGAAGGCTGGTTAATAAAGGTTGGGTAATAAATTTGTAATATTTAGCTGACATTCTCTCAATCTATACGCCTAACGAATATAATTAGAAAAGACGAGGGTGAAAATGGTAATATTTCAGCAGCGGAACATATTCAAATATTCCCATAATACTGCACTTACTGCAAACACAACTCGTAAGGAACATGAAGCATTTGGAGGGATATGTTAATATCAGTGATAAATAGTTCGAAACAAAATTTGCCCCACAGTTGAATTTCGCTCTTTTTCTTAAAATTTAAGTCATTAGGTTATATTCATAAGAGGTGTTTGAAAATTTAAACAAAATATTATAATGGAAGATGGTTATGCTACGGATATGCTGAGCAAATAATTAAATTTTCTTTGACTCATTAAGAGGAAAATGAAAATATTCAAAATATTTCTTCACTCACACAGAAAAATGATTACATGATGTTAAGTTTGTCGTAATTTTTGGTTAAGAGTAAAGGAAAAACAGTTTCCGTTGCTAATAAGAACAGTGCGTTTCACTGTTGTCATTCATAAAAACTTACATTGGTGAACTAGGATTTTAGATTTTGAAACAATAAATGAAATGAAAAGACTTAATAGAAAAACCGATGTCAACATCCGCCCTGAAATTGGCACCATGGCCTTTATATTCGGTATGTAATCTACTTCGACTAATCATTATTCTTCTGCTCTTGATATTGATTTATTCAGCTCAATCATTTTATTTCATTGTTCTTTCTCAATAATCTATAATATCTTATTTCTTTGGGTGGAGTAAATGTGTTTCATAAGGCGTGGCGTAAAATAAAAATATACTTGATACGCTCTTCGTTATTAATTCAATAATGGGTTTTTATACGTCCAGTATTATCCATGTTGTTTACTTGGAATAAAAGAGCTGTTATCACAAGGTAGAGCTTTGGTTAGTGTTGTTATAAACAAATCTCATTGACACATTTATGCGTTTTATTCTTAAGATATTCCAACTTAAATTTTAAATAATTTTGTATATTTCCATTTATATTTCTGGTTTCGATATTGTGATTTTACAAGCTTTATATTGTTTAAATATTCAGTATTAAATTATATTCGATTTATAAGTACAGTGAAGAACCACTGTCTGCGAGAAATTTCCCTCGAGTTTCCTGACAAGCAGTGTTGTACACGTACATGTGGTTTTATAATTGGTGTTGTACGAGTAGATAACAGTTGTTACCCTCAGGACGATGATAACAAATTACTAAAATATAGGATTTTATCTCAGCCTTTTTGCTTACGTATTTGCAAGCTTAGTGAACGTCACGAAAAAATAAGTTATTATTGTCTCGTTCCTTCCTTCTGCGTGATCATAATTCACGTTTATCAACGTCTTTATTCACACCAGTTTCCGTCACAAGTGACTGTTACCGTAGGATGGTTACGAACATTAGGTTAATGCAAGAAAACTACTTTAAATGTTTTGCTTTATTTTTGACAAATTTGATTTTTACTTTTATATATCCTACAATACAATGCAATACAATACGACTGACTACGGGCTGGACGACCGAGGTGTCGGAGTTCGGGTCCCGGTAGGATCAAGAATTTTCTCTTCTCCACGTCGTCCAGACCGTCTCTGGGCTCCACCCAAATTCCTATCCAATAGGTACCGGGGGCTCTTTCTCTGGGGGAAAAGCGGCGGGGCGTGAAGGTGACCACTCACCTCCAGCTAGTACTGAGGTCAAGAAAATATGGATCCATACATCCACTTCCCCACTCGCCTTAATGGCTTAGCGCTTAATTAGTTAAGCTGAGGGACAATCTTACCTTTTACAATACGTTACTTGGGCTTACCTAATTATTGCTTGAATTAAATCGTCTTTTGCAGCAAAGGATCATACTACCAATTTTACATCTTTTCTTAAAACGTATACTTTTGGAGTGGACCCTGAAGAAACATTTAATTTAATTGAATTTTTCCAACCCCTTACATAAATCTCGCACTTCTGATTACTGGGATGCTGAAACCGACTCACTGTATTTCCCAACAGTAACAGCCCGAGGGCATTGCTACCCGTCTCACTACTGCTGTCATACGCACAAAATGGCTGAGATTTCCTGTCCGAACCCGTTTTTAGGCAGAAAGTTCGGACGATCCTCCTGCTAATTGGCGTCTCGGCTGTGCCCGTACATGTCTGTAGCGTGCAACACTGCTCGTCCTTGTGAGCATGCCTCTATGATGTTGGTGGCGGTGTTGCGGTGTAGTTACCCCATGCGGTTGTGCGTGCGGGGCGTCGTGACCCCGCGGGATGGTGCTGCAGTTTTGGCTGGCGACACTCACTGTTTGTTTGGGCGCATGGTCACCTTCCCCTGGGGGTCCCGGGGGAGGTGCATGAGCCGCATCTAAACCAGCCTTCTTCTGCTCCGCTATCTTCTGGATGGCAAGGAAACGATTCTTTCGCATTTGGATCCTTTTCGCCATGTACCCAACGGTGGCGTATTCTGTGGAGAAGGAACACACGTTGTTAGACAGTTACACAAGTAAGAGATGGCGACTGACTTCTGGGAATGTCAGCTCTTGGCATTACTAAGCTCTAATTTCAATCGGCAGGGATCTGTCACTACTTTAACGGGCCTCGTGAGAAACGGCTTCCCCATGACCCACACAAACGACAGTTCAGAATTCACAGTAAAATAAATTCCCCACAATTTACTTTGGCCCATCCAGTTTTATGATGGATTAAGTCATCTTAGGAGTTTTTAATTTTCATTTCTGTATTTTCTTTATGATATCTGTGTTATCGGATAGTAGATTCACGCCATCAGCATAGACTACCAGCTGATTTGTACCATTTTATTTCAGTCCCAACTGGTTTTCCTGGACCTTTCTGATGGCATATTCTAAAGCAACGTTGAAAAGCAGTGGCGAAATCATCTGCTTTTTTAGACCATTCTGGATAGGAAATTTATCAGACAAACATTTCCCTATACGTACTTTACTATACGTTTCGTTTAAACACATTTTAACAAGCCTAACTACTTTAATGGGTATCCCAAACTCTATAAGAATATTGTACAATACTTCCCTCCTAACTAACTTTCTTGAAGTCTACGAATAGCTGATGTACTGTCTCATCGTACTCCCATTTTTTCTTAAGTACCTGACAAATTTAAAAAATCTGATCATTAGTTGATCTGTTACGTCGAAACTCACACTGATGATCCCCAATAATTTCATCTATATATGGACTTAACCTTGAGAGAAGAATGCTGGATAAAATTTTGTATGAAGTAGATAGGAGTGATACCCAACGATAATTATTACAGTCAGTCTTAATGCTCTAAAATTTTTATCATAAGAGTGCAATTCATTACTTCTCTCAATATTATCCGTAATCCTGCTGCTAATTATAATGGTAATAATAGTGCAGATTTTAACACAAGCTCACTTGAATTGTAGTAATTTCCTAATCGTCACTGGCGCACATACGCGACACCCTCTATCCGCTAAAGTTGGCACCAACTTCGCCGACAAGCCGCGGTCGCTTTGTCGGTATAGTTCACTTGCGGACTATAGCCATGGAGTTTAGTTTTATTATTGCAGAAGTGGTATTCACTGATTCTTACAAACATATTTGGGAGAAATGTTGCTAATATTTCGCTTTAGGAGGGAAAGTCAGAAAGTAAAGACAATTTTAATTCAATTAAGAATGATCCTGGCAACACTGAAAAGATGAAGCATATAAATATTTTATATCATCCTTAAGTTGAACCGAGTTGCTTTTCGTTGTCTTTTGAGCAGTAATAATACAGCAGACATCAATATTGGCCGCTCCATCGTCATGCGCTAAAGAAAAATCTAAGGGTCGATTCTTGTGAAGATGCGTAGACTCACTCACTCATCCATGAAGCTGAGCCCTTCTTGAGGAGCCGCATATTTTGCAGTTACTCAAGAACTACCCAGCATTTTGCAGAACCTGAAGGTTCAATACCGTGTTCACAAGAGCCCTCCTCTGGTCCGTATCCTGAACCAGATCGATACAGTCCATAACATCCTATCCTATCTTTCTAAGATTAATTTAAATATCGTCCACCCACCTATGTCTTGGTCTTCCTAGTGGCGTCTTTCCTTCTGACTTCCTCACCAATATCTTATATGCATTCTTCCTATCCCCCATCGATGCTACATGCCCTATTCTGTGCATTACATTTGCTTTTACCACAACAGAGCTCTATCATCACTCATGGAGCTGAGTCTTTCTTGAGAAGCCTCCCGTCGTGTAGCTACTCAAGAACTTCCCATCATTTTATGGAAACCGAAGGTTCATTACCGTGTTCACTGGGTCACATCCTGAGCCAGATCAAGCCAATCCATACCAAGATGAGTAGACTAGTCAAATTTAAGGAAAATCGGAAGCCCTGTAAGGAGGTAACTGCAGACTTATGAATTAAAGCTTGTGAATCGGTTGAAAGATTCTGTGGAAAGGGGTCGAGTCTTGCCACAAATTTTATCTTATAATAAGATTATATTATTTTAACAGTGATGAAAAGCTCTGAAAATAAGGAATTGTTACTATATCAACTACGTAACTTCTGAGTGTTGTCTGAACGTATGTTGTATAGTAGGTCATGAATAACAGATCAGGCTCTTGTTTTTAATTATAAATGTCTTTCTCTGGAATCAAGTAGCTTATAACAGATTGAATTTCTAAATTGGTGTATTCAGTCCACCGATGATTTCTAAGGGCTCTATTTGAGTGAATCCTGTATTTATATGTAAGATTTGACGTTTTCACGGCGGTGACTATGAAGAATGTCGTCTTCTGCGATGTGGTGCCGTGTAGATCCTGTATGAACCGATGATTCTGAGGAACGTATCGCCTCCATCTTCAGGGTAGAAAAATCCGCGAGCTAAAACCTGGTTGAGCATGTAGCTACAGAATATGAGTCCTCCGAAACGTCGGTCCACACGGGATCTACACGACGACACATCTCAGGAAACGACGTTCTTCATCTATACTTATACGCTTCCTGTTAGCATCAAGCGAATTCAGCAACAAAATAATACGACCCTTTTTTGGTGTATGGATATACCTGACGATATTAACCACCTGTAGGTGTCCCTGTCATGGAATAAGCATGACTATATTAGGTATAGCTGGGAGGTACACTGAAGGGTTTTCACAGAAGTGCAATGGAGATTGGGGTGCACACATACGAGAATTTTAATTTGTCCATGAAGTTTCTATGTAATTATTTCATCACTTCCTGAGCATGATATGGCTTGATTAAAGCAATGTGTAGAATCACTTACAGATGTGCGCTCTCCTCACATTTCCTGTGCTGACGCTGCAACTCCAATAAGTCTTTTTATATAAAACATGTTACAGCCTAAACATGGAATCACATCACTCTTTGTTATAACGAACCTCTAAATTTTCTTCTAAATGCGTCCGTCCTCATTTCTATTTCTATCGATTCTAATAATGAATGGCTTTATAGAGGGTCAGATGGCCTGTAACAAATAGGATTTTTGTATTGTTACCGTGAACACTTGATAATCCAAAACCATTAAAGCCGTAGGATCATTCGGATTACTGGACTTAAAATAAAAATTGGATTTTTGATTAAAATTATTTTTTTTTCGAAAGTTATATCGTTACATTTTGTTTATAAAAATGTCCGGAACCCGAGATTTATTTGACAACACTATGGCACGGAACAAGCGGTAACCGGGTTACATCTTTCAGAACCTAGAGGAGCAGGCATAGAGTATTATACTTCGCAAGAATTCACTTTTACTGCAAGTGAGTGAAGCAATTAGATAAAATTTGTAATTGTTAGACGTGACGATTTCCTCTTTGATGATAGTGTAAGTCAGTTCGGATTACCGGCGATCCTCTCTATTGTTAATTTATGGTCGATTTCAACGGGCCGTTCCCTAGCTTTCCTTTAAAGTCCATTAATCTTGGTTCTGTCATCAGTATCTTCGTACGAATTCGAAGATGCAGTTGTCTGTTTATGGAAATGTACAGTCGCTCAGTAGTGACCCATTCCGTGGGTTGATAAACAGCCGTATCTTCGCACCACTTCAGAGGTGGACTGCCGTTCATTTGTTTTCTGATGCGTACGACTTACCGATCAGTCTTGTGACTGAAGAGAAGACAGATTGCGGGTCAGAGAGCATTATCCTGCAGCTAAATTGGCTTAAGGCCAACCCTGGGCGCGGAGACCGTGTTAGTTCTCCTGCTTGAATGAAATTTAGCTCTTGTATTTCAGAAATATCGATTTAATGATTATTGACTTACCCTTAACCGTGTACTGAAATAATCAGCTACGTAACTACCTCGGTGACTGATGAGCCAAATAACTAATTAATTCTAGCGGAGACCTTCTTTAGAAGCTAATAAGTGTTTAGGTAATCAGGATATGTCTTACTTTTTACGGGATCTTTGGGTCCATTATCGCAATCGCTTGAATCCAGGCCTCACCCTCACACCCTCTTTGTTTAGTGCACATTTAATCCTATCGCCAATCTCCGCCAAGGAATCCAACTTATTTCTTACTTTCAAGTTTTGAGCCCAAATTTTGGATTCATTTGTCATTCTTTCATGCTCTCTACCTGTCCCTGCCCCGTTTATTTGCCTTGCTCTGATCATCCCAACGTTTCTGTGAAAACTATAACACATTATATTACCTGGAAAGGGAACTTTTTTAAGTTATATTGCATAAAGAGATTCAGAATTTAAGTGGATTTATTTGAAACTTCTGAACAAAGGGGTTAAGAAATGCTTCCTCACATGGACTGACATGAATGCCGCACAAAGTGCCCTGTCACTGCCGTACTTATTCATTAAAGCAACAGTGGACGCAGAACAGTTTTTACCACAAAACAAGTTGTGTAGACGCACAACTATTGAACTATTGAAGCATGATAATTCAACCTGAGAATCTTCTTGGGAAAAGAGAGGTATAAGCCGAAAGGTCGTGGGTTAAATTCTTGATGATTTCGTTGGATTTTTCAATTGACCTAATCCTTCCAGCCGCCCTACGATCATGGGATCGAATTGGTCTCTAACAGAGAAGCGTATCAGGAATCTTCTTGGTGGTAAAGGGCTGCCGGCGTTAAGGCTGGCAAACTCACCGCCATCTGTGAGCCGATTGTCTAGAGAAAATGTGAGAGCCTTGACGTCTCACAACCCTATGGGCCTTCACGACCTGTTACAAGGAGAGCTTTACCCTTTTTACCTTTGCACAAATGATGTGCTAATCAAACTCATGCTCTTATCTGCTAGATGTTAGTAAGCTGATAGTTATTTAGCCGCCATTGATGCAACTTGAATTACCATTACCATGATATCCGAGGTTCTCACTGCGAGAACTACTGAAGATTACTATCTTTCGTGACCTGCCAACGTGTAGTTGGTTAATTAAGTACCAGCGTTTCGGAAAAGTCTCTTTCCACCATCTTCAGAATACATGAGCCTTTCAAACCCAGAAAATTGAGATTTTTTCTTTAAAGTCAGTACCTACCTAGAAAAGTTTATGGCATCGCATTCAAGAAGACAGCAATTTTCATTCTCGTTTTCGCCACAGCCCGCCATTGGTTGGATTCGAAACCGACTGAATTCAGTTCAAGTCTTAATACCATTTTTTTAAGGTACCTTTTCTTTAATCTTCAAATCTTCGCCCAGCTCCCAAGTTGTCTCTTACTTCCGGGTTTTCCAAATTAAATGTTGTGAGTATTTCTTATTTCTCCATGTGTGTTCCTTGTTTCACCCATCTCATCCTTCTTCATCCGGACGCCCTAAATCTTAATATCCGGGGAAGGGCAAAAGTTATGAAGCCCTTCGTTACTTGCAGAGAGAAGACATACAGAAATATCAAACCAAAAGTGAATGTTCTGCTTTACCCATCAGAACACTAACGCCACCGCTGGATGTGAGAACACTAACACTGTAATTGTGCGTTACAAAACTAACATTATCATTTGGCATTTTACACTAACACTATCATTAATAGTTAGAGCACTAACACAATCATTTATGCTTTGAGACATTAATACCTTCACTGGACATTAATCAGAACAATGTCATTGAGTATTAGAAAACTAACATTTTCATTAGACGTTACAAGGCCAACACCATCATTGAACGTTAGAACACTAATATCATTGGGCGTCACAAGGCCAACACCATCATTGGAAGTTAGAATAATAACACCAGGAATGGGCGCCAGAATACTAACACCGTCAGTTTTAATTAGAACACCAACATTATCACAGGCTGTTAGAAAACTAACATAACTTTGGAAAGTTAGGTGCGTCCTATCCGGAGTTCAACGTTTTTTGGAGCTGGGACATTATGGGAATCGGATATTTGTCTCCTTTCTTAATGTCGCCTTCTTCATGTCGATAAGAAAGCACGCAGAACCAACTAGTCACCGAGCCAGCCTTTCAAAAAGTGTCGCAGTCATTGAAGAAGGTAGTGGGCATGTACAGGGCATATATGTTCTCTTGTGGACTGTGGTTGGTTGTGTTGAGATAGCTCGGCATTTTGAGCTACAATGCCTCAGTCAGCATAGTGACTAGATTAGGGTCTGCATGTGGGGGTGTGGTTTCCGGCACGCTACCAAATCCAGATGCGGCCACTGATCCAAAGCATGTCAGAGGGCTTTGCCCGTAAACGAAACTTACTGTTCGCATCCATCTAGTGCCAAAGTTCAAAATGCATCGAAATTTACGCCCACTGTCATGCATGTTTATGATAAGACACTTAATTAATACAAACACAGTACTACTTTATGTTTTCACTTTAGAAGTTCACAATGAACTTAATAGCTTCACCATATTTAAGAGCAGCATAAGTCGGGGGCCCCAGACATAGCCCAGCTTTAAGAACAGGCGCAAATGGAGTTCAGTAGCAGAATAAATTTACAGCCCAACAGAACTTTGTAAATTTCCTTTCATGTCATTCATTTATTTAATTCCTCAAGATGGTATCTGTTGACGAAATTAAATAAATGAAGCGGCAGAAGAGAGGTAATTGAATGAGGGTAGCTAAATCCATAGCGAACTGTCAAATTATTGAGAATGAGAATAGCACAGACTAATGGCTTGCAGCACGAGCTTTTTATGGAAAACGACTTTGTTTTACGAGTTGTGGATTAGTGAAGAGAACGGAGATGTACGACACGAGTTAACATCATTAAAGAAAAAAATATTGGACTGCTCATTGCGGGGGTTTTCGACAATTTGGAATCTTCCGCAAAGGCAGGAACTGAAGAAGTTTAATTGGAAGTTATCCTGCTCTATGTACCGCGATCAGCACTTGAATAATTTACAAAGAAAAAGACTGTACGTCATATGGAATTGATTAAATGTGAAGGGATTTTGTTTTCGTTCCTATTTTTACGAAAGGCGATGTGCCAATAGCCAAATACTTTACTAGACATGCAGTGTATTCTTCAAGAAAGGTAATAGGTCAGAATACTGCAGTTACCTAGGAAATAGAATATTAAATTCTGGATGTAAATTACATGGTACAAATACTTCATAATTTCGAATGCGAGGCTGAGAAAGTTTTCTGCAGTTTTATTATTAGATAACAAGAAACGGAATCAGAAATTGCAGGTTCTCTACATGTACAGTATTTATATTGACGTGACTGTCGTACAGGAGATGGGAACTAATTTAGAGACTTATCAGCCGTTATACATTCTCAAAAGATTTTTAAATGACTCAACAAAAGTTTGTATGGAACGTCCTAGCAAACAAGCGTTTCACACAATATCTGATTCAAGATGAAAAGATCTATATGAATATTTGTAAAAAGGGGAGAATTGCTATTGGCTTCAGAGCAAAATTAGATCAGATTTTAAAGAATCAGAGAGAGAGAGAGCACTGTAATNTTCCAGGCACGTTAAGAACAAGGACGCGTAAAGTAAATAATGAAATGAAGATAGACTTTCTGAATGCATGCAGTTACAGAAACTCTTGACTAGATATTCACAACAGGACGCAAAGAATAAAGAAAATTAATTTCAAGATGTCCGAAAATAAGTTACTGAATGATGTATGGAAAACTGTACCCTAAGTATAGATAATAATATGGAAAGAGCCTCATATTTTAATTATCTGCGATGATATATGTAATTCCAATATGACAAAGGCATAATGGATAAAATAGAAGCTACTCCCGTAGAGCAGAGATCTTCTTGAGAAATAACAGTCACTCAGATGGCTAGCAGATGCTTTGGTGGGATCTCGAGTTTAATTGCCATGTTTTAGCAGCTCTCCGCTCAATTCCTGTCCACATCCTGATAGTCCGTGTATGACAGGTTGTCATTTCTAGTTTCCCGTCTATTCTTTGGAATCTCAAGTTCTCCCTTCCTCAAGATTTTCTTGTATGGAATTCTCACCTTTCTGTTGGCTTCACCATATTTCGAACAGTTCATCCACAGTACAAACCTTGTGTAATATTTTTTGTATACTGGTTTTACGGCAGGAGTTATTAGTTCATTGCCCCAAACTTAAACGGGAGCACCACCTCTTGTCGGCTATCTACGACTGATTATATTCGAGTAGCCGTAAATATTTGTAAGTTTTCTCGTCTGTTTTACATCTGAGTGAATCATGCAGAAGTGAAAAGAGAGCATCATAATGTGGATTTTAAACTGGCTCTTTACTGAACTGTGACGCTTCGTTGCAAGTGAGATTTAAGTAAAACTTTTATTAATTGAGTCCCAAAATCAAGCAATTTACATACTAGTGTTTTTAAGATTCCCGTAAGAGAGTATAATACTTGCCAAGCAAAGATGCGAAGACCATGACGAAACAAGTTCCCAAGTAAACATCGATTGATTTGACGTAGGAAATCTTGGGTAGCGCCGCGTTCGTGGACGACATGAGGGTGGTCATCGTGAGCACGGTGGTGACGCCGAGGGCCACCCTGGCGGGTGTCGCGTTGCGGTTCAGCCAGAAGCTGACCCAGGAGATGATGACGATCAGACCAGATGGAATGTAGATCTGGATGAGGTAGTAGCCCATGGAACGAACGAACTGAATCTCGCAAGCCAGACGAGAGTAGTTTCCTGGTCATAACACAGTAACTTCATTAAATGGAAACATCTTGCTCATATCGTCATGAATTCTGACATCACTGTTTCATATCGATTTCAGATCGATTTAACATCGATATTTACCGCATTATTAACGATAAATCGTTTTAGAAGCACAAACGGATCGATTTTGCGGTAAATATGATGTAGGTAGTCATAGATATATCGAAATGTGAATGCTCTTAAGTTGAATTAATAGAAAGTATTAACCTCGTGCAGAGCAGAAATTTTCACGGTGCCTTTAATCTCAATTTAAATTTGTGTTCTGCTTGACACAACGCAAAATTTCTCCGATGCGTCTCTTAAGTACGCTTATGTTGAATCGCCATGACGAAACCTTAATAACGCCATAATTCGTGCAAAGCTACGAGAAGAAATAAAGCTTAAACAAATAGACTTGCTTGAACTGAGCGAGCTGAAGTCGGGCCAGCATTTCTCTTCTGGGGTGAAAGGCATTTAACGAAACATGAAATAATATTTCGAATTTATTTTTAAAGAAAATTAATCAGACAGAAAAATCCTTATAAAATATTAAAATGCATTTTTATAGATATTTAATAGTTTCACTTCACGAAAATTGAAAACACTGCAGAGGAACTAAGTGTCATTTGATTGTTTTCAATATTTATAATGAAATGAAGTTTATTAGTGAAGGTCAGGAAATTGATATGTCGTCTTTGACGGATTTTCTTTCTTTAAACTCGTGTGATTTAAAAAAATTGTTAACTTTTTAAATATTTAGAAACAAACGTAACAATAATTTTTATACGGGAATTTATTAATTTCGGAATCGAGATTAAATTATTATTTATAAGCATTTTCATGACCTTTAAAATATAGGAGTTTAAATTTCATTAATATGTATAAAGTGACCGCCCTTGAGATATTTGTTCTTTCTTGGTCGAGGAAAGTAAATTTTAATGCTTTATAAAATATTATGCCAGTCAGCTCTCTAAGCAAAATTCATTCAGAAGCCTTTCCTTTCCTGTTTCTTCTCTTTTTCTTTCATCTTTTCTGCATAGTCCTTTTCGTTTTTTGCGTGTTTGAGGTTAGATCCGAATGTTTGAAAATTAGAACTGTTAGGCAAGATGAATGTATTCCATTAACGTAGAATTATAATTTATAATTTAATTGTTGAAGTACATAACTTGAAATAGGCATTTATGAGCACGTTTAAAATATTTAAATTATTATACTGTCATTTCTCTCAAGGTTTCAGCGGGGGCGTTAGGCGTCACAAAATCTAGTGGCAGATTTAAATTAACAGAAAATTTAAGTGATGTTTGTTATTTTAAAAATTAACAACAATAAAGAATTTTATATATTATAACATCCATCATATTTATTAAATATTTTCTAATTATTTTACAAGTATAAACACTATTGTCATAATTTTTTCCCCCTTGGCACTACAGCCCCAGTGGGCCTAGGCCTACCTCCATGAACTTCTCCGTTCACTTCGGTTTTTCTAGATCTTACGCATACGGTAGGACTCCTTGGGCGAGTGATCAGCTCGTCTCAAGGCCTCTACCTGTAAACAAACACAGAAAAACGCATACAAACCTCCATGCCCTGAGTGGGATTCGAACCCACGATCCCGGCTTCCGAGCGAGCGAAGACAGTGCATGCCTTAATTATCATAAATACACAGACGAAATTTCTATTAAATTTCGGGTAACGTTTGTCAACAAATTGGTTAACACGATTTACTCTACTTTCTTCCGGCAAATAAATGTAATATAATGGAGTTTCAACATTCATCAGGTTAAACGGGCATCGCGAATCGTATTCTTTGTAACGTACGTAGTCCTACACACTGATGGTGCGCCTGTCTAAATACGAACGCGTTTCAAACTAATCAGAGACAAATAATCCTATCATGGCTCTAGTGAGGAATGAATATTATACAGGAGAGAGTAAATCGAAATGTAAACCTGCCGATCAGAGATATTCACTTGTCTTGGTGTTCACAGTGATCATAATGAAGGAACAGTATACAGTATCATTAAATGTCAAACAAATATGTATTACACAGTTCAAAATATGCTTTATGCGATTCAATTTTAAACGTATACGTGAAATAGAACGTAAAATTGAATTTAACATATAATGTAATGAAACTGGATCATCACTAATTTTATTAGATTAAATGTCATAAGCGATTGAAACCTTATCATTAAAGAATTCTAAACGTTTCAAATGGAAGCTGAGATGATAATTTCTGACTAATGATAGTGAAACATCATATTACAATGTTCACATAATTCTCTCATTTTTGCTGGTGACCAATAAAAACTTCCTGTGTCAAGGAGTAATATTTCGCTTGGATAAAAGGAATAATACAAAGCGACATGGTCCCAGAAATATTATAGTGTGATGCAAATTTAACACTCGGATCTGTGCGTACGTCCTCCATTTTGCTGCCAGTATTATCCAGGTCACTGTAGTCATGTTAAGATGGTAATATCNTCGGTTCATTCTGATGACGAGTAACTATGATTCTGTTGTGTTTTAGTGGCCCTTGAATGCGAACACAGCTTCGCTGACGGCCATTCGGACATTCAGAGGTAACCAGCCTTTATTGTATACTTGGGTAGTACGTGGTTCTGACTTCTTCAGTAATAGACGAATGACATGTTTTGGAAGCGACTGTAACCCATTTTCAGTAAACGGTGAGAACGGAAAACTAACCTCGTTGACGTGATTTCAAGATGGATATTGGCGTGAGAAGTTGAAGGTCGATCATGTCTTCAACATTACACAAAGGCAACACAATTACTTTACACTCACAAAATATCTGAGCTTCGTCAAAATGCCTTGGTATTCATCTATGCCTCTTAAAGGGACACATTTCCAAAAAGTAACATATTCTATGTGATCTGACTGAACATCTCAGTCGATTAGGTAGCATTCCCACTTTATGTTCGGAAAATTTCAGGTTCAGAACTCGGCCGGGAAACAAGCCATTCTGCTTGAGGTATTTCGTGGTTTTCCCCAGTCCCTCCAAACAAATTCCGCGATGGTATCTCAAACTACACCTTGACTGCCTCTTTCCACACATTCTGTAATCACCGTTTAGAGAGTCTTCATAAGATTTTACTGTATATAATGTGAGGTATTGTTAGCTTCGTTAAATGAATCATAAACAAGTTAACTCCTTGTGAACAGGTTTCAAGGAATCTGAGAGCGATTAATATTATTGAATGTGCCCATTGTATTGGAAGTTGACCTTGGTGTATACAGGCACTGAATGTAATTTCATGCATCTATAGGTATTGAGAATGAAACGCAAAACATGCATGATTATACCAGGCATATAGGGAGCAAAATATTTTCACATTATCAATCACTCGCAGGGATCTACAAGATAAAACGCAATTCTTATGACTGGTGGTTTTGTAACGTATTCATCCGTAGTCCTTTTGTTCATCGTACGTTTTTTGTGTTCTATTTGTTAATATTTCAGCTAATATTTCAATAAAAATATCTAGCTGAAACGATTTTTATGGCTTTAATGTCGTTTAAAATTTCTTATGCCTTATTTAAATCATTGTCTATTCTAAAACAATTAATAAAATTTGCTTTTATGCAACTATTTATACATATCGGCACACTGCAGACGTTTATATGAATTTTTGCCGCAAGAAACTGTGACCGCCACTGGTACGTTATTTACTTATTTATTTGTTAAACGGTCGCCTCTGTGGTCTAGTAGTCAGAGTTCCTGGCTACAGATCCAGAGGTCCCAGGTTCGATTCCCGACACTACCAGATTTTCTGAGAAGTAGTGGGTCTGGAACGGGGTCCACTCAGCCTCGTGAGGATAACTGAGGGGCTTTTCCAAGGAAAAACGCGACTCAGGTCCAGCAAACTGAGATTAACGGCCGTGGGGGTCCGTTGCTCTGTCCGCGCCACATCCTCTATCCGCTAAAGTTGGCACCAGTTTCGCCAACAAGCGGCGGTCGCTTTTTCTTATTTTTCAGGAAATCATTTAATATTACATTTACGCTAAACAGACGAACATTGTAATGTTCCACATTTAGATTTGTATGTGAACAGTGTTGCCCTGAAATGCTTATGTCAGATAAAAAGCTGTCCCTGAAACAGGCCATGAAGGCCCATAGGGGTGTGAGAGGTCGAGGCTCCCACATTTTCTCTAGACAGGCGGCTCTTAGATGGCGGTAAGGTTGTCAGCCTTATGTGCCGGCCACGCTTTTATCCCCCAGGAAAGTTCCTAGAACTCCTTTCTGTTAAAAGCTGAGTCGGCCCCAGGGCCGTAGTGCGTCTGGAAGGAGTAGATCAATTGAGAAATCCAATGACCTCATCAGGATTCGAACGCGCAACCTCCCGGCTTGTAGCATAGTGCCTCAACCAACTACGCTACCGCGTGCTCCCTTATATGTCCGATAGTCTTCAGAAATATACTTTGGTTTATTTCTTGACCCCAGGATGTAGGTGTGTTTGTAGGAAAGAGGTAAAACAGTCATGCGCTTACGATAAAGTCACAGAACGTTTGTAAACATCATTCTGACGTAAATACCCAGAATTCCATGCACACATCTCAGTGAGGGAGCTTTCTCATGATATGTATAATAAAGGTGAAGAAACTACTTAGGGTTAAAGATGAGTGGGGTCGGGATTACTCCTAGTATCATACATATTTAGAATCCAATCTGCCATTACTCAGATGAAGAATTCTGAATCTAAACACAGCCAGAAATATTCTTTTTGTCCTTTGACCTTTTGTGATATATTACTGTGTTGCTGATGTGAAGCTCATACACTACCTTGAGTGCTGACGTCACAGGGATGGGAGAGAATGGGTAGAGAGATCGCGTTATTTGTAATGAAACATGCAAACACAGAGACATAAACATATGAGACGATGGGAGTAACAATCCCACCAATGGAAGCTAAGCAGTGTGCCCTTCAGTACAGTCTTGTATTCATAAGTTCAAAGACACAACACACATTCAACAGGGCATACACGTTAACAATTAGCAAGGTGATTAGAATCAGGATATACAGATGATTTCGGCGCCGCTTGCCATGCAAAGTTTAGCAGTGTGAATATATGAAACAGAAAGCGAGTATGTCACACAAAAACATGCCCTGAAGACGCTTCATTAGTCTGCTATGGCAATACATTTGAAGTAAAATTGCAACACAACAGACTGTAATAGCAGAAAATTGACATGTGTATAACTACGTCTGATACAAAACTTGCAGAAAATGTGTTACACAAGCTGCCCCCAAAGAGCGTGAGATGTTTTACAAGTACCCGCATATTTATTAACGTAATAGATATATATCAGAATGCTTTTATTCCCGTTTTAAATAGTAATTATTAGGCCTACACATACTCTTGTTGGACTGCAGATATGGCCTTCCTGTGGCAGTCAATTTGAGTCAACTGCATGGCCTCCCAATCTTAGAACGGAAGGTGTGAGATGAGGCGAACGAAAGCAAGTCATGTGGTTGATCCTCGGGGCCAGAACTTGAAAGTGTGAATCTGTGTTTGCTATTTAATATATTTGTATACTGCGTGAGGTTTGACCTTGAGGTAGGAACTTCTGTGTTTTTTGCTAGTACTTCATGCTTCTTGCATATGCCTAGAATTCATTTTAAATGTCATGAAACTAGACCATACTATGTATGCCATGAGGCTACACTTCCTTATGTATGCCATGAGGATAGACCTCCTTATGTATGCCAGGAGGACAGACCGCCTTATACATGCCGTGAGGTTGAACCTCCAGCCGGAAATTTTAGGGCTACTTCGGCCCTATATTTTCTGTTTAATATATTATGATGCTAGACCTCCGTATGTGTGTCATGAGTCTATTGGCCCTTTATATAGGTCATGAGGCTAGACTTCTTTGTGTATGTCATGAACCTAAAAATATTTTCATATGTCTTGAGTCTAAAAGAATTTATGAATGTCGCGAAACTAGACCTCATTATGTATGTCATGAGGCTGTTCCTTATGTACGCCATTATGCTAGACTTCCTTCTGTATGCCGCGATGCTAGACCTTATGTATGACATTAGGATAGACTTCCTTATATATGCCATGAGGCTAGACCTCCTTACGTGCGCCATGAGGATAGACCTCATTATATATGCCATGACGCTAGACCTCCTTATGTACGCCATGAGGCTAGACCTCCTTATGTACTCCATGAGGCTAGACCTCCTTATGTACACCATGAGCCTAGACGTCCTTATGTATGCCATGAGGCTAAACCACCTCATGTACGCCAAGAGTCTAGACTTCCTTAGACGAGTATATGCCATGAGGCTAGACCTCCTCATGCACGCCAAGAGGCTAGACTTCCTTGTATATGCCATGAGGCTAAACCTCCTTATGTAGGACATGACGCTAGACCTCCTTATGTACGCCATGAGGCTAGACCTCCTTATGTACTCCATGAGGCTAGACCTCCTTATGTACACCATGAGCCTAGACTTCCTTATGTACGCCATGAGGCTAACCACCTCATGTACGCCAAGAATCTAGACTTCCTTATACGAGTATATGCCATGAGGCTAGACCTCCTTATGCACGCCAAGAGGCTAGACTTCCTTGTATATGCCATGAGACTAAACCTCCTTATGTACGCCATGAGGCTAGACTTCCTTATACGAGTATATGCCATGAGGCTAACCTCCTTATGCACGCCAAGAGGCTAGACTTCTTTGTATATGCCATGAGGCTAAACCTCCTTATGTACGCCATGAGGCTAGACATCTTTATGACGTCATGAGGCTAGATCTCCTTATGTACGCCATGAGGCTAGACATCTTTATGTATGTCATGAGGCTAGATCTCCTTATGTACGCCAAATCTGCTGTGATTTTAGAAAATTTATGTCCGCACATTCGTCTGTGCACTCCAGATTTTTGACCAGAATAATGACCTTATTAATATTGACAATGCGCCTTCCACAAGAGAAGTGACATCTATATCTGATTGAAAACGTTCACTGCACTCGAATCGTTTGGCCCCACGCGACTATCTTGTGTTTCCTAAATTTTAAACTTGCATGCAGAGGGTCCAACTTTGAGGCACTCGAAGACATTGAGAACTGAGGCGACGAAGTGAAAGGGTTGTAGAAGAATTATTTCCAGCAATATTTCTACACACGGAAGAGATATTGGGAGGCGTATGTGAGGCCAAGAGGCGAGTACTTTTAAAGGTGGCCACACTCACTAAACTTTTATGACAATAGACCTATACTCTGTATTCTTAAGGAACTAATCCGGCTATTCAACTTTCGGACCTCGTATGCTCTCACTACTCTAAGGTCTATTCTTGAATATTTATTCAATTCATTGTGAACTGTACATGATAATAACTGAAATCTTATATTTATATCGTCAAACACACACAAAAAAATATATTAGATGGAGAATAGTGAAAACTTACAGATTTTGAGCGGCTACAGACTTCGGTATTGGTAATTGCTGAGTGAAATATGTCACCCGGTTGATGATCAAGCCCATGTTGACAAGCTTCCAGGCCGATCGCCTAGCTGGCTGGCAAATTCCACTCGTGCGGTCACTATTGACCGTACTACAAATATAAAGAGGACTTCCTGGGATGTACCTGTTGTGAGGCTAATTTCCATGGCCCGCTGTCGGTGGCCCAACACCTTGAACTGGGGTAACGACACTTCGTTCGATACGCCGACCGAGTTGGGACCCTCGTTCCACTTATAACGGATGTCTCTCATAGTATAACCAACTAGGAGAGAAACAAGGAAGGCCATGTGCAACTTACGGGTGTGAGCGAGTGACAGCCTTGTTGATGGTTGTTCTTGACGCTGCAGTTGTGTCTGCTGTTGTGCCACGCCTCCTAATAGCCAGGGTGCAATGATACACAGAAACACACGCACACAGAACACAGACTCCCCACTGCTGAGGACACAGAGAAAGTGTTTTAATGGAAACCAGGACCTCACATATATGGGCGATCTTTGGATTTCATCTAGGTTGAGTTCTGTGTTACCCTTCCACCGATAAGTTAATCTCCCAACCAGAGTAACAGAAAAGGTAATTCGCTTGTTACAGACTTTACCGCCTGGATAGAAATTTTCTTTCTGCTTTGTCCAACATTGTCATGAATAAGAACTACGAATCTTTGAGACACCTAATATCCTTGTGCAAGATAAAGGAAATTCTTCCTTTCAGCAATAACAGATAAATATTCGGAATCCAGGCTCTCCAAGATCCTTGAAAGCTCTCGGTGTGTTACCATGGATAAGTTTAGCTTCACCGACATGTAAAAGAAATACACATTACATAATAAAACAATACATTTGATCAAGTACGTAGATACTGAAATATATGCTACGTCACTGCATTTCAAACAATTACAAAATGCGTCCTTTACTCTTTGAAGAAAAATCTGAAATACATTTTAACTCATATTGTTAATCTTTAAGAACCAACTACAAATGACTTCACAGCAATGAAAATGATTCTACTGCTACTAAGGATCTGCCACTATCATTTTCAACGTTGACCACTGGACGGAGTCACTTTCAAAGTGAAGAAAGCTTATTCGCATAAACTATTAGTCATTTTGGAAAGTATTTGCATCCTCCCTTACATATTACAGCTAATTTTGAATTTTACGGTCCATCAGCGCATCTGGTGGATGCGTCATCTTCACAGCGCGAGGCATGCCTCTGGATTCCTCAGCAGTGCAGAGAGAAACAGAAATAAAAGCAACGTATATTAACGCAAAACAAGACACGCTTAACGAAATGACACCGCATGGTGAGACGATAACAATTAGTAGTAACGAAGCTAAAAGTAGTACTGATGAGTATTTATTGTTGTCTGTGAACTCTACCTGTGGACAGGTTAATTTCGGTCGCCCTCTGTCTGTGCCCGAGGACACGGAATTGAGGCAGCTGTACCTCGCTGGAGATACCTACTGACTTTTTCCCGTCGTGCCATTTGTATCGAATATCACGCATTGTGTATCCAACTGCGGGTACAGAGAAAACAAAAGAAGGGGACTATGAAAGTTTAATATAAAGGGTTCTTCACATATAAAACAATAACGAACTAATATTATAAAGGTTAACTAAAATTACTAGTGATTTTTAAAAAGTAATAATTATGTACCACAAAAATATGAGTTCAAAAGCTGATTTGCTATTTTAATTAGTTCTATATCTACAGAAAAAATAAATGCAATTAATAGTTAGAGGGTGGGATAAATTATAAAAACAATGCTAATATGGATTATTATTTCAGAAATAAAACAATTAGAAGTCTCATTGTGATAAGGATTGAAGGCCATGCTGGAACATTAGTTACAGGGACATCACACTGCCAGGGAAGAATTCATGCTCAAAGTGGATGGATACTGCAAACAACAACATTAAACATATATTTATTTGCCCACTGTTCCTATAGTCCAATTGTTCAAAGTGCAGAGGTAAAGCAGAGACTGGCGTGGAGCCTCGAAATCTGACTGCACACAAAAGCAAAAAAGCAAGAAGATGGAGTTCACATATTTATATTAGAAGAAAACTACAGAATAAAGCTCTAAGTAGGAACTTAGTCGTGTAAAATAAAAATCTGAAAGAAGAAGAAGAAGAAGAAGAACATGCAACTTTGTTTTCAAGGAAATACGCAGTGGCGCCGCTTCAAAATAGCTGAACGACCATTTGACATGAATTGGTTTTTTGGAAATGGTTTTCGAGACACCCAACCGTACTGTCACTATCTTGTTCCACTGGAGTACGTGGTGGAGTGGCGCCACTGCGGAAGGAGAAGAATTAGATGCACAATGCAGGTTTAGTACTGCCTGTTGTTGCTGAATCATCCATGGCAAGTTTCGGCTTGTTTTCCCGGATTTTCTATAGAGAAGTCATTGCTGTGCGAAGTGCGCCACAAATTTTGGTGCAGCGGTTTGGAAAAGAGTCTTTGGTTTTTGTTTTTTGTTTTTATAGAATGTATGTCTTCCTTCCCCGGGCACGACGCTCAGTGCTGTTTTTGAGAAGGAGACCGAAATTAATTCAAAATAATAAAACACATTATTGGCAGGAAAATATACAGTGTTTACAACAAGGAGATACACCTACGTTATGTACATTACAAAACTCTATAGCAAAGTACATTTAGCACAAATAACCAGTTTACATCAATATAATCAAGCTATAAATACAATTCTATTCATCATGTTTAACTATACATAACAATAATGGAAAGCATGTTAATAGTACTTTATATTTCGTAACATTTTTTAGTATAGTAATGGGCATATTATCATAATGTACAGAGATAAATATCCAGACGCATTGTGACAGGATGAAATACATGTTTCTTTTCTCTTTTTTAAAATATATATTATTTAAACTATGAACTGAACTTATTTTTTTCATTCGTTAAGTGGGAGGTGGAGTCCAACCGGGTCCACTCGGCACGGCGGCCACTGATTGGCCTATTGTAGCCTGCCCCGGGTGATTATGGTCATAGAGTATTTGGTATAATGAAGATTGGCAAGGGAAACCGAAGTACCCGGAGAAAACCCGCCCTGCGCCACTTTGTACACCACAAATCCCACTTGAACAGACCCCGGGATCGAACACGGGCCGCCGCGGTGGGAAGCCAGCGACTAACCGCTTGAGCTATGGCGCGGCCCAAGAACGGAACTTAGACCTGTGGTGTAAAACGGTCTCCGCTTTAGGTCACAATGTGTTCGGTGAAATGCTCTTGTAAGCCCAAGTGCTTCAGTGAAACGCATATGCACAAGTATTTTAACCTTAATACTTACAGCTCTCGATTTCAATGTGGCAAAGTTGTCTGTCCATGGGAAAGTACTGAAGGTTCATTGGACAAGATGCGGTAATGGTCAACCTGTAAAGCACAAGTCATCATTAAGTTATTAAAGGTAAAATTTAAAGTCCCCCTGTGCTTAATTAATGAAGTACTACGCCATGAAGACATACGGGAAAGTGGAGATATAACTTCAGTCTTCTCGACATAGGCACTAGCTGGAGGTGAGTGGTCAGATTCACGTCCCAGCCGCTTTAACCCGGGGAAAGGTCCCCCGGTACCCATTGGATATGAGGCTGGATGGACAGGTCTGGACGCTGTGAGGTGGAGAATAGTTCTTGCTCCTACCGAGAATCGAAATCCGGACGTCCAGCCGTAGCCCATCACTAATCCGACTGATATTTCCCGCCATCTCATCCTTGAATATATGCAAGGATTTGTATATTTTTTGTGTTTTTACTCTTCATTAGGCCTTTCAGCTTTCATAATAATTAGGAAAATGGAAAAAGCTCTGGAAAGAATAATTTGATGTACAGAGGCGGTGGCTGGTTTCAGTGATCTTCATGTAGTAGGATGCCAATAAGACGTGTGAGAGAAGACATAGGACTCCACATATTTTAAATCCCAACATTACATGGAAGTTCGTGGTCACCTTCACACTCCAGTGGCTTTAACCTCGTGCAGAATTGTAATTGTAATATTTGAAACATTTCTACTTAGGTGACCGCAGCAAAACACCCCCCCAAAAAAACAACGTTATATTAAAAATCACCTGATGATGGCCCATGTGAGGCCGAATTATGTCTTAAAACTAGAAAAATATATGTGAAATTAGAGACATTTAAGAAATTCTTATAATCCCTTGTAATGTATAAAATATAATTTTAGTGTCCTATTGACATTTTAATGAGTTTGACGACGTAATGTATTAAAATACATTGTTAGTGAGTAACATATTCCTGATGTTTTTTGTATTGTTGCATTATTGACGTGTACTTTAATAATAAGGATAACGCCTTAATGCAGCTTGATGCTAAAATATAAAGTTATACCAAAAGTTGTGTAGCCGATTTCTCGCAAGAAGGAAACGATGGCAATTTAAATTTCGTATTGCATGTTGCCCGTTGACTTGCATTGACCATATATAATGGCAGTGATACCCAAGAATGATATCCATATTCATGTGGCTCGGCCCGACTATGCTAAGAATGACAGTTTTCGAAATAGGGAAGTTTTATATGGATGAGGGAATCTCGATTTGTTTACTTGTGCACACGAATATGACTAGAGCAAGGGTGAGTGTTGGCGCGGTGGGAAATTGTATCTTGAACTACTAATCAAGTTAAAGGTACTGTTTGCTGAATGATGGTAATTTCATGTATTCATATTTCGTTTCCCACATTCAGCTGCCGCTAAATGCAAGTGAATAACAAATTCATTTATTTCAAAGAGTAATAAATATCCTTAATGAAATTCGAGTGATAGATTTTGTCATCCTGATAACTGATTCAATTATGGACTGTATTCTTTCACTCTATTGTAACAAGAACATCCGCAATAGATCGCAATATACTCCAGTGTTCTCTCCTCTCGGAAAAATGTGAGGGTTTGGACTCAATTCACCTGGCTCCGGGTAGGGGCAAGGTGTGAAATTTTGGGGTTCGATAAAATGAGGGCTATTTATTGACTATCTGGATGACTGTTAGCTTCCAAATATGAACTCTGTTTTATCTAGTAAGCTAAGTCAATATTTTCAAATGCCTAGATCTGAAATAAGCCCCGAAATACTCTTCCGTATAAGCATTCTTGGATCAAATTAATTTCTGAGCGCTCTTTTTTCTAAAAAATGAGCAAATTATGTCTGCCTTCAAGCTACAAGACTTCGTTTGATACTAATAAAAAATAACTGGTAAAATTATTGCTGTATATACCGTTGTCTTCGTGATTTTGAATTGTAGACTGGCCAATACTGGCTTTCGCACTCTTTGTTAAAAGCAGTTATATAATTTGTTGTCATTAGTTCGAGATCGTTGTTGTCAGTATGTTTGCTGATTTATGGTAAACATACAAACTGTCTCTAGAACTCCTGGGCGAATCTCTAATAAGTTACAGAGGTGAACTGATGTTTTATTTTTAAGTGTCCACTACAATTTGTCAGGAAAATTAGATTTTGTTTTACTCGTGTCCATCGCAAGAACTATCACACACGTAACTGAAATCGAATTGTTTTTGTTTTCGGAAGAACGACCCATCTTACGTAACAGTTGGACATGACGTAGGATATAGGTTTAGTTAAATTTTACAGTTTTCATTTAAAACATTCTTCCACATGTAAGTCGTCAATAAAATTCAAATAAAAATAATTTTTTGACCCTGTGCAATACATCAGTAGTGTGAGTAACTTAGCGACAGGAGAGTTGTGTCTGAAAGAAATGAACATCAACGTCAGTGAGGTGTGGGAAGTGAAAAACAAATTGACTTTGAAAAATAAATACTCGTACATATCCGGGATATTTCAGAATGCTGAGCTCGTTAAAAATATCTTGCCTCTTTCGACTCCTTCCTCACACTGACACCCATACATTTCATTACAGACTGATCTCTGGGGAAAACAGAAGTGGCTTAGTGGGGTATCTGATCTTCCATTGAACTGATTTGAGGTGTCTGTAATTGGTTTGTATCACCAGATATTTCCGGTGTAGCGATATTTTGAGACCAGATGCCCCATGGTGCTTTTGGGTAGAAAACCCGGTGAGCAAGTTTGATTGATTAGCTGTTTAGATTTGTATCCATTGACTTGTTTGTTTTCTGACTCACTAAAGAAATAGGTAGGTGTAACAGCAATCACATTAAGATTGTAAATGGACTTCCCTTCATTACTCAGAACAAAAAAGATTTTCATGTATTTAATTAATTAAATGTTCCTCCCGAGTTCTGTTGTCTAATTTATAGTTTCGCAAACTGTGTATACGCTGAAGAGAATCGCCAAGTTATCAAGAATAATTTAAAATATAGTTGAATTCACGCACAGTTTTGGCAAGTCTTATGGATTGCATAGCTATAGACGGAGGCACTTGCGGCGAAATTTTCATGACTGTACAGGAATTCCTTATCACTTGCTGTAGATTTAGGGATGTTGCCGTGCTATTTAGATTTCTACTGGCACCGTGATTCATGATAGGGACCTGAAGCACCGTGCAGAACTAAACTTTTCGCTGACAGACGGAGATGGGTTTGCGTAAATTGATATATTTCTTAAAAGTTCGGATTGTCAAATTTTTATGGAAGCCCAAGGGTCTAAGTCCTTTGATTTAAAAGAAAACGAGTGGAGGAGATGTAGGCCTTTTCAAGTTTTCAATTCACACATTCTCAGTGTGGGGCATGCGGTAATTTAGTTGTTTGGGGCACTATGTTATAAGCCGGAAGGTCGTGGTTTCCATTCCCAGTGAGGTCATTGGATTTTTCCATTTACCTAATCTTTCCAGCCGCGCTATGACACGGGGGTTGACTCAGCGTATAACAGAAATGAGTACCAGGAATCTTCTTACGGGTAAAGGGCGGCCGTCACGTAAGGCTGACAACCTCACCGCCATCTGTTGGCCCATATCTAGAAAAGGTGGGAGCCTCGACGTCTCACAACCCTGTGGGCCTACACGGCCTGTTACAGGCATTGCTTTACCTTCTTCTACCTTTTATGTTTTAAGTATAGTCTTTTTAACAAATGAGGAGGCCTTACACAGACTCTGCAGTGCAATCTACAGAAGTCTCTGTCTGTTCGACACGCAATACAAAACAAAGGTTTTTATAAATAAGTGAAATTGAGAAAGCTCGACACTCGATTTAATATTAAGCAAACAATTTTGATGGAGGACTGTGATGAAATTTCGTGTTTCTTTCCACTGTCAGAGGAGCGTTGATCAATGAAATATGAAAGTTGTGGCCGGGCATTTTGTTTCAAGCGCCAGAGAGCAGTATAGTAAAATAATCAATGGTTTTCTTCCTGTTTACTGTTGCTGAGAATGTTTTTAATATGAACCTCACATATTTAAAAATACGAATGGTTTAAACTGCGTGAAGTGGCAAGTTGACCACAGTTTTAATTATTTTTGCTTGGTATGCACCCTTCCCTGAACTGTAATTAAAATGGCATTAGCTAGGCGAGCAGTGCTGAAGTCTTGTTATGAAGCTGACTTGTTCAAAACCATGTCCTTCCCTCCTGTCTCTCCACTGTCCTATCGATGTCATTGCGAGAAGCACTCAGCTTACAAACTACCCTCTCTCCCCTTATCACATTTCCACCAACAGTCTTGTCATGTTCTTGGTATTAAGTTTAATCTGAGGCGCCATTTTCAATTTATACGAATTTTCTTTCATGAACTTCGCATAAAAACCTTAGATTGCTGACAATAGTTAAATCTGATTTATCTGTTTAAATTCTTGACAGGACAATTAAGTCAAGTACATGTAAATACAGGATACTGCGTATTTAAATTAAAACATTTAGATCGAAATACAGTTTTTTTTAATGCTAGTGGGGTGGGACTAAATCCCTTGTACTTCGGCCACTTCTGGGCTATTGTACCAGCCGAAGATGATAGGTGAGGGTGATTGTGGAGCAATTGATGGAATGAAGATTGGCAGGGGAAACCGAAGTACTCGGAGAAAACCTGCCCCAGCGAATAAGATGAAATGTCACGGTTCTGAACACAAAATATTAGACGTCGGATAAAAATTATATCATTAGCAGCAACACGTGTGTTTCAGGCAATGAACTTGAAATGGTCGTATTCGTCGAAGAAGCGTAATCTCTGATTATTTTTGCAGAACAGCGCGACACTGGCGCACTCTGGAAGAATAAGAACTAATTTTCATTTCTTGCATCCTGTTGTGTTACAATATGCAACTTCTTTATTAACCGTCACAACACAACAAATATCAAGACCAGTGCCTAGCTACTGCTCTGCTACATGTTTCGGCTATCAATAGCCATCATCAGGCAAATACACGGTTAACATATATACATCACTGAACTGCAGTACTATTAAAATTTGATACAATAATATTAATCACATAAATTAATGAATTAGTAAATTAATCAATTACTTAATTGTCCGTACTGTAGGGAATGTAAACAACGTTGATTACATTCCCTACAGTTTGGACAATACGTTGTAAGATGAGGCACTGACTAAACGACTAAACAATTAACATTAATTTGCTACATCTACATCACGAGCCTCCTACACGATCTTGTATACAAATGAAATAATATAGAAACTTCCAATTTGTTCATGGGAACTCAACGAAATTACAAAACCAACGACTGAGTCGATGATATAAAACATCAATTTAAAATTTTATTCTTGTTTTATACTGTAACTTCTGTTTCATCTAATCTGATTTGTTGTATTTTTACGTCAAGTGTTTTATATGATTAATACTCGTAGTATTGTATCCAATTTTAATAGTACGGCAGTTCAGTGGTGTATATATGTTAACCGTGTATTTGCCTGATGATGGCTATTGATAGCCGAAACTAGGCACTGATCTTGATATTTGTTGTGTTGTGACGGTTAATAAAGAAGTTGAATAAGAATTACCGTATTTACGCATGTATAGGCCGCGTGCGTGTATAGGCCGCAGCACAATTTTCAGACAGAAATTATAGAAAAAATAATTTTCTTGGAATATTATTTCAGGAGTATTACACCCTGTATTACTAACTATGAATATAATTTTTTTTAAATGAAGTGTGATTTCGAATATTTCGAATATAAGCCGCACCCCAGTTTTCCTCTTGAATTTTTGGCAAAAAATGTGCGGCCTATACATGCGTAAATACGGCAATCTCCATTATCTACTCTAAGTGTTACCATGTTACAAAATATCGTTCATTTCATGATTGAATAATTAATATTAAATCAAATATTGGTTCACTTCGTGTGCCACCCTGTATCTAGATTAGCAGAATCCAGGATATACGAAAATTTAAGTTTGTTAAAAAAAAACATTAATGAGAAAAATTGAAATTCTTCCGTCTGTAATCAAGCGTTGCAAAATCCATTTAAAATAACACGCCTACATATGTATTGCCATATGTCATTAACCTATGTGACATTACGCACAGCTTAAAACGCTTATAGGATTCTGTTGTTCAGACCAATCCTCGAATGTGACGGAGCTCCCAACAACAGATGCAAGCTTCATTTTGGACTCCACAGAAGTGCTGTACATAACCGTAAGGCACTGGAAAACTAAGACTCGATGTATCTAGTAATATAATAAATTTGATTGAAAAAATACAGCTTACAGTCCTGCAGAACTCCGAGTGGAATGCGCAGAATCCGTGCAAACAAATCGAGAACTTCTAGCGACGAATTAATAGCAGTGACAATTCTACTTGGGAAATGAGACAATATCAAAATAGATCATAAAGAAAAGAAGCATGATAATATGGACTGCATTCTCCTTCACAGAATTTGATTTTGGATTTTTTCCATTGCCCAGTAATCTAAGAAATAGAAAACACGACGCTCCGGAAACATCTAACTTCCGAAACGTCGTGTTTTCTGTTTTCTAGAATACTGGATGATGGGAAAAGTCTAAGAACTCAGTAATTCTGTGTTTTACACCATCATCAGGGCCTTTTATAATATACTTGTACTCTTCTGGCTGAGGACAGGTTAAAGTGGCGTACTGCTGTGAACGCGGCTCCGTGTAAGATGGGGAATTTCGTGATCTCATCTTCGTAAGAAGGGCTGTGGTCCATGAACTTGCGTAGTGTTAAACACACGCAAGTACGGATCTGATGCTACATTCAGCCTCCCTTTTCATTACTAAATAAGAATTAGATGCTGAAGTATAGGAACTACGCGAATTTAAGAATTATGAAAAATTAAAAATTTTCAAATAGTTACTTTATACATTTGTACATTATGTTGCTGTCTGATCACAACAGCATTCCCTCTCCCCTCCCTTTCCGAAGTAGCCATGCTGTCGCCATGCAGTGTGTACAATATGACCAAATACTCTTTTATCAGATATGTAAAGAATTACTTTCAGTTTCTCGGACCTCGTCAATTATTTGCTTTCGTCTTTTTTAAATAATATATTGAGAAACTGGTTTTGTTTCCATTTTTTGAGGCAAGGCAGGGCCTAAATCAAAGGATCCGTTCGAAAGACTTCGTCTCATTCAATTACCTCCCATGTCTGAAGGCAGAAACTTGATCAGTTACTGAAATGTTGCGTTTTCAGAGAAACAAAAGACTACGTATAAGGTCCAAGAAATTAAAACTAATAATCGGTAACAATTATTGTGATCACCTTCGTCAGAAATGTTCAAAAATAAATGCGTATGAGTTGTGTAAATAATGTATGGATTATTTTCAGAATAATTCTTGTAATAGTTCATTTGGAAAAATGGGTAACAAGAAAAAAGTTACGCATGCTTCTTCATAAGCTACAAAGTTCTAAGTTACTAGCCGGAGAAGAGCTTTCCGTTATGTAGCCAATCTCTTCTTCCTTGCACTTGAATCCAGGAAACAGAGTGGGGGAGAGGACTGAGTTAGTAGCTGACCCAGGTCGATAGTAGCTCTTTTGTAGCATGAAACTTAGCATGGTGTGTGTGTGTTTTCCTTCAGCGTCTGTTTTAGGATTCTCGTTATGTTCAAGGACGGAGCAGGGGCTTTGGCACAGGTCTACAGAGGCAGCAACTGTTACGGCCATCTTGAATTCACAATCAGTATTCTGCTGTGAAGAAAACGAGAAGGTAAGTACATCTGGCTGAGGACGAAGATAGGCCAAGTTATGTAATTTAAAACTTTTGAAGATAATGAAACTTCGCTAAGGTGACATCAACCTTAAATACATGTAGACTTTTCCCATGATGACAATCATGCACATTGTTGAACTGGTTAATGAAGAACCCGCTTGTGAGATTGAAACTATATGCATATACTATTTATACAGAGGCAGATCACAGTGGCCGAGCGGTCTAAGGCATAAAATGTCTTTTCCCGCTCAAACACGGGGATTATGGCTTCGAATTCCACTCAAAGAATGGAAGTTTGTTGCGTTTATTCTATGTTTGTGTTGTCCTGTGTAGGTAGAGGCCTAGAGACGGGCTGATTCCCCCACCAAGGAATTCTGCCGACTGTCTCAAGATTAAGAACGTGAACCGAAACGAAGCGCTTTACGGACACCCTATACTCTAAGTGGGAGCAACAAGAACAAAAATAGATTTATACACAGGCATTTATGAACCACGAATAAGGCCAAGTCACAATTAAGAAGCTCAATTCAGCAAGTGGTTTAAATGGGGCTTGTTTACAAACGCCGGTTTCGTAACTGGGATCTAAAGGCAGACGTAGAAAGGCAAACGGAAATTGATATGAATTCAGAATGCACAGCGAATGAACGTATAGGGCTTTAGTTCCAATTCTGAACGAAACTGAATCCTTGATACAAACACTGGATCGTATTCTGGTTGTTTGTTCTGACTTCTTTGGCAAAAAAGAAATTTACTTCAATCACGGCAATCAATTATATATGCTTATTCACGCGACGTTTTGGTTTACAGTATTTGTACTCTTCACCAGTATATATCTGTAATTTCTTTATGAAATTAATATATATTTTTATCTCGTATTTCGATATATTTCTAGCTAAGTTTCCCTGACAAACTCGAATTTCCTAACATGTTCCGTTGTATTGAGTTAGATTAGTTCAATTTAATCTACGTTATATGTTTCAGTCAAGAAAGCATAAATACAACACGAAATTTGTGAGGACTTCGGCAGTTCCTGGCTTTATGAGGATGCAAGCTGAAGTGCGAGTATGACGTCACCGTAGTGGAAAAATATTCTTCAACCTACGATATAAGATATGTTGTCAACAAAACGCTGCGGTGTTTGTTTCCAGTAACTTCCAATGAAACACGCTAAAATTAATATAACATACGTTTACGACATTGTGAGTGGAAAAAGTAGACGCTACTAAACAAACATTTTTAAAATTAAAGAAGACCCTTCCCGTATAGTACCTGACTTTGTTAAAAGTGAAGAACTCCTTTTGCTGAGGTCAGCATGTCACATATTATTAGTGCCTATATAGATGGGCAGAATTCCTTTTAAATTCAAAATGCCAGATTTTCACTAGAAACTGTCGGATAATTCCAGATTTGGTTAAAATTTGACATCATACAATTTAAGTTTACATGAAGACATGAGAAATTCTGCGCTCAACTCGCGCCGACTTGTCTGAATATTTATGGAAGTGATGATGTTTAAAAAATGGTCGTAGCGATAACTGGAACAAATAAGCCTACCTATTGCCAGGACAAATTCTCCTCAAGCCTTACGGATTTAAAATTACTTAAAACAAGCGAGCCGTGCCATAGCTCAGGCGGTTAGTTGCCGGCTTCCCACCGCGACGGCCCGAGTTCCAGGCCGGGGTCAGATCATGTGAGATTTGTGGTGGACAAAGTGGCACTGGGGCAGGCTTTCTCGGTGTACTTCGGTTTCCCCTGCCAATTCACATTCCACCGACTGCTCTACACTCATCTGCCGTCCGGAGCTGGTACAATGGGCCAAACAGTGACCGCAGTACCAAGTGGACTTAACCTCATCTCATGTGCAAAAATAGTAATTACTTAAAGAGGCTATCGCTGTTGGCGTGTCACCTCATATTGCGAGAACCATCCCTCAGTTTTATGCATTTTCAAGTATATTTAAACTTCTTGCACTGATTTGTCGACGATCACGTCTTTGTATCTCTGTCTGTCTGTCTGTCTGTCTGTGACGTAATAGTATCCCTGAAGTGTTGGGCAGATCTTTTGAAAATTCAAATTAGGGAACTTGTCTAAAAGTCCAGAATTTTCTATTTCATACAACATTAACCATTAATGTAGCAGATTTTACTAGATACATAAACGGATTTTTTAATGTATATCATAAAAAATATTCAAATTTTATAACCAGGCCGAAAGTAAGCTTATTAAACCACAAGGAGCGCCGTTTGGGGATGGAGTAGAATTACACCGTTTCTCACCCCAGTCCTGGAAAATGCAAATGAGCGTCCCTTGGCCGAGTAATTTTGAAATATACTATATTATTAGTAAAGTACGTATTATTTTTATGGATTTGTACGGACTGATTTTGAGCTCATATATATATCTGGAGGCATTACACCTATAATTGAATTTCAGCAATTCTTAGATGTAACTTTATTCAATTTTTAATGGCACGCTCTGCCGATATCCTCTTCAATTTTGTAAGATAAAACGAAAGGACTCTCAATAAACTCATTCTTGTGAAAAGAAGAGTTTTGATGAATTTCACAGAGAAAGGATTTGTTATTAAAACTGTCAGCCTTTACAGTTACTGATTTTTTATTGTATTTTATATATCAGGGTTTATTACATTTTATTTCTTATTTTTGAAGCTTTAAACTTAAATATCATTTCTTGTTTAATTACAGTACGGATAAGAATCTTCTTACTTTCAAGCATGCCTGATATTTTGTCTAAGCCCAACACTATGGCGGCCTAAGGGGGAATGGAGCGACATCTGACGTAGTGTAACGTGGTACAATTTCCACACTCAAATTCGATTAAAATGAAGGAGGAGCTGAAAATCATTATTAGACCTATTTTCTGAACGTGAGAATCATCCGCGATACTTCAGTTTGCAGCAACGTTACAGTTTACTCTTCATAAGCTGTCATTTGTTCTGTAGTGAATGTGCTTCTAGTCACTGTACATTCTTACAGCAGACTGCAAAGTTTTGTGAGATATGAGGCAATGTCATGAGCTGGTAGAACTTAGGCTGTGAATTGCAGCGTCCTAATGGAGATGCACGTGATCAGTGGCATCGTGTAACACGTACAGGCGGATCATGGCGCGCTTTCATAGATATTTTTTAAAATTAAACTTTAAAAAATGCTACATGTGGAATAACAAATTAAAGAATTCGGGAAATTTCGATCAGAATTACAATTCCGATAATAAACTTTAGACTTCATTAATTTCATCACACTTGCATGACCAACTCTGTAGAGGTAGGATTTGAGGTTTTCACAGAGGTGGGTATGAAGTGTTCTATCTTCTGGGATATAACGCCGTTTAGTCCGTTGAAAGAAAACAGACGTTTTGGCGGAATATATCGCCTTCACATTAATATTTTTCTGGGCTAATTTACACTGAAGATGAAGGCGATATGCTACTCCGAAACGTAGGTCGACATTCGACAGACTACAGGGCGTTATATCCCAAAAATTAGTATTCTTCAAGTCCGTATATATATTTAAGAACAGTTCATCATCATCATCTACATCGGTCCGTGTCTTCGCTGAATTTATTTTTACGAAACGCTGTAAATATTATAAAATAATATTACCTTACTATTTCAAATGATTACATTGATTTTTATTTTCGAAGCTCTCTGAATATTAAATGACCATATTAAACGTTCTGAATTCTTTAAGTCATTAAGTATGCTTTCGAGTTCGTTTCCGAATTAACGTGTGTCAGGTGCCGGGAGTGGACCACCTCTGTGGTCTAGTGGTCAGCGTTCCTGGCTACAGATCCAGAGGTTCGTGTTTGATTCCCGGCGCTACCAGATTTTTTTTTTTCGGAGAAGTAGTGGGTCTGGAACGGGTCCACTCAGCCTCGTGATGACAATTGAGGAGCTATTTGAAGGAAATAGCGGCTCCAGTCTAGAAAACCGAAATTAACGGCTGTGGGGATTCGTTGTGCTGACCACGCGACACCCTTTATCCGCAAAAGTTGGCATTAACTTCACCGACAAGCGGCGGTCGCTCGGTCGGTATAGTTCGCTTGCGGACTAAAATCACGGAGGTTTTTTACTTAGGTGTCGGAAGGGTGTAATATTAGTGAAACGGAAAGTAAATGGAAAATGAGTCTATGGAGGAGTTAGAAATACAGTAATGGACGATCACAATTCATTGGAATTAAGTCGCAATTACTTTGTATACTATCGGGAAATAAAGTAAGAGGTACTAAGCTCGTTTCTGCTGGATTTTGAATGCATCCAGACTTTTGCACAGAAACGTAGGATGAAAGGAAATAAGTTATGAAATGTACTTTAAGCTCAGAAATTCTGGTGAATTTGCATCTTGGTTACCGGCAGATAAAGGGGAACCCGAACTTCTGCACATCCCGGGATTTTTGGAAAAGAATCACAGTTGAAGAAAATAATGAAATGTACTAGATATTAATGATAAAATATCAAAGTATTATAAATATTCCTCTAAAATAATACTCTGGTAAAAGTAGCCTTAAATGACTTAGATGTAAGGTATTACGCAAATGGTCTTGCTCTCTACTTGAAAACTGGGTTCTCGCCTGGGAAGCTGACTGCCACCCTCTGAAAGGGACTGGAAATGCACATGAATCGAGTCCATGTTTTGGCCTGAGAAGGTCTGACGACTTCGTACAAAGATATCCAACATAAAACTTCAAAGTTCCTGGAGTCGCTAGGTGACACAGAACAAAATTATTTTGTTTAATTATTTCTAAAATCGTAAGACTCTTGGGGAAAACCAGGAAGCACAAAATATGCGTTTCACTTTTCTCTATAGTCTTTGCTGGAAACAGTTTTTGCTCCCATAATTATGTATCGATTTAAGTGCGAGTTGCTTTTGAGATCTCCGCATAATCAAGTGTTTTTATTCAAGTACATTATTATTATTATTATTATTATTATTATTATTATTATCATCATCATCATCATCATCATCATCATCATCATCATCATCATTATTTAACTTTAACTGAATTTGGAATGTGGCAACAGATTTTAATTCTTTCGAGAAACAGCCTTTATATGTGATAAAACTTTTTATTTAAGTCGTATAACTTATTTCCTACACATAACGCTTTTCTTGAATTTTTATTTTTACTTCAACTTTTATTCTATAGACTCACTGTATAATACTTCTTACTTTATATTTAAATGTTTTAAAAAATAAATGGTTCTATAGCCTGAGGAAGAAAACAATACAAAGTGAGTCGATTTTACCGTATGAATCTGTTATAGTTAAGGCACCCTATGGAGATGAGGCTCCGGCCGCTTTCACTCCCATATTGAGTATCCTTTATACCTACAGAGCAGAAGAATTTTTGGAACCCGGTTTCTACCTAGTCACAGTGTTGGAAAGAAGAAATCCTGCCCTTTCTTCCAGTCTATAATCAGTTACATTGCCTGTTCTACTAACATAAACGTTTAGTTGTCGCAATAGAATAAACACATACTTGTGGTTGTGCTAGTAGGAAATGTACGTAATCAGTTTTCAATATGTAGAACAACGTGCAGCCCAAGACAAATTCACTGTAATCCATAATCGCTTATATTTGTGAATCTCATTGTGCATTTTAATCATACCACTGGAATTAATTGCGATATAATGACATTCCTCTTCAGTCTTGACATATGTAACTTACATGCTTGTGGTTCGACTCCAGGCTGTGGACAATGAAGGAGAGGCCTTTAACGCAATTCTGTAGTTTACAGCGCTCCAAGAGTTGCAGGGTTAAGAATGAAGAAGGAAACTCGAAACTTTATCTGCCACCGTCATTCCTTCTCCAATTTGCAGAAGTTCTTGGCAATACAATTACAAAGTAGCTAATAAATCGCCTGTTAACTCACTACGGAGAATTCCTCAATAGAATTAAGCAAGACTGTACGCAGTGTTTCGGACTCCTTTCCCCATTTTACTACCGGAAATGCGGCGCAGCTAACACAAGAGTCTGCCACTTTTGTGTGTCCAAGTTTGTGCCCTAATACAAATATAATTAAGATATTTGTAGTATTTTCAAATAATTCACCATTGAAAATTTTACAAGTATGCCACACTGCGTGTGAGAAATATATATAAATTATGCCTTATTTAAGTTCAGTATGCTGTGATGCGTTACGTATAGCAAGTAGATTCTAAAGTGATCTGATAATAGTGTAGAACACTTAGAATTACTAGGGGTTTGCACTTTGTCTATCGTTCATTATTCTAGAACACAACGTTTACGAAACTGGATCTGTTGCCGTTCTCAGCCACTGCCCAGTGATTAAGCTCAGCTGAGGACGGAAATATATCCAGTTTCCGAAACGTTGTTTTTTCTAGTGTTCTTTAGAATGCCGTATGAAGGACAAAGTCCAAACATCCAGTAATTCAGAAATTTATATACAGCCTTTAATATGGCAAGAACCATTCTGTTGCTAAACGTCGAACGTTTCGGTCAGGAGGGTAGCACTCCTGCTTTGTTTGTGAGTTCATGGGTTCAAATCTCGGTTCGGAATTTGGCTATTCCGACCGAGGTTTCTGATGATTTTACGCAGTCTTGCCAGGTGAATGTCCAAATGGTACAGGAACTGTGCCAAAATCGCTTTCTCTGCGCTCCTTTCAATTCGTTATTCGTTAGTCATTCCGTCCTTTTGGATCATGTATAATCTAACTAACTAACTAACTAACTAACTTTCTGGAGCTGAGTCCTTCTTGAGAAACCACAAGTCACTCAACTACCCAAGAATCTCCCCACATTTTATGGAACTCGAATGTTTAGTACTGTTTTCACAAAAGCCCTCCACACGTTCTTATTCTGAGTCACATCAATCCAGTCTATACCAACCCATTTTATTTCGCTAAGATCCATCTTAATACTATGATCCCACCTACATCTAGGTATTTCTAGTAGTTTCTTTCCGTCTGAAATCCTCGTCAAAACATATGTGCATTCATCTTCTCCACCATGCCTGCTACATGCTCTGTCTAAGCTGTATAATACATGATATTGAAAGCTCAGTTTAAATAAACCAAGAAGAAATAAATAGTACAACAAATACGTCTCACTTATTGTTGTTTCTTTCAATCGAAGTAAACACGCAGATTTAGTAAATTAATGGGCCAACGCTTCACGTTCGCTCTGATCTGAAGGGAAGGTACCAAAACTTGATTCGAAATTCTTGAATGCTTTGTAATATATTCCTGAAACTTGTAAGCCCATTATAATATAAAATTCAAAAGGGAAAAATAAGCGCATTTAAATATTGTTTCGAGTAGTTACTTCTCTCTGTCTGGTGACAGGGTCTCACTGATTTTGGTAAAGCAATCCATTTGTTTCTCTTCCCTCCCCATATATTTTTTATTTATTTCTGAGAACACATTTATTCTTATACTATATTTGACTTTATCATGAAATGTCAAGTTAATGGCACAAAATTAATATAATAAATACAATATAACAACAAAAAAATTATTAAAATATATTAATTAAATATATTTCTTAAATAATCCGGATTATATTTATGTATATCAATCATGCTTTAGCGACGGGTATAACGTGGTTAATTAGAGAATTAATATAGCTATACCTCCGATTCTCTAGATGTCATATAAATATAAACTGGTAAACAGTTTACCGTATAAGGCAATATACATTTCCTGTGATAATTATTCTCCGCAGTGAAGACTCCGAATGTGAAGCTACGAGGACCTTTTAGGATTTCTACGTTTAGTTAACTGTTACATCTTTCACTTATTTAATTGGCTGTTAATATATTCCCTTATAATAAGCAACTGTTTCTACAGAGAACACCTGTAGTCTCACAAGTTAATCAGTTCTGATCGAGTTAGTCTCTGTGATGGCATAAGATTACTCATGACACTCACTTTCCTCCCGTCGCAATATGCTATACACATACCTGCCGACATGATAATTTATTTATACCTTGTGCTACCAAGAGCAAGTACTTGAGGGAATAGAGACTGAGTTAATTTTGTATACAATCTGATAATCTGTAAAGTGCAGAAGTTAAATTCCCTGGTTGCCTATATCTGAAAGTCTACTTCCTGTGGCATGAACTTTCCGACAGAACTTGAGACAACGTACTCATATGAGCACTACTTTGTGTTCAGGGCTATTGGGCTGAAACTACAACCCTTTACTGAGATTTCTTGTCTATTAAGAAGAATTTATGATTAGTAGCTAAGAAGCGGCAGTTTCTTTCTATATATTTCTCACGTGATAATTAGTAATTCTCTGCTAATAATCTATCTCGCCGAAGCATAATAATTCCAGCGTACATAGTCACTCATCTCTTAAAGAAATTCCATGCTTCTTACGGAACCTGAAGTTAACACGAGCCAGCTGCTAGACCCTCTTCTGCACCAGATGAATTCATTCCTTCACATTCATATTTAAGAGCAATTTTATATTATTCTCCAGCATACTAGGCATAGAAGTGGTGTCTTTCATGCAAGTTTTCCTACCGAAATTATATTACCTATCCCATCTCTCCTGTTCGTACTTCACGTGCAGCTCATCTTATCCACCTTCATTTGAATATGCTGTCAACATTTACTCAACAGAGCAAATTATTGAACTCCCTATTACGTAAATTCTTTTCCTACTTCTCAGCTCCAAATATTCCACTCAGGGTCCTGTTCTCAGGCATCCTCAGTCTGTGTTGTTCCCTTAATGTCAGAGTGTAAGTTTCACATACATATAAACAAATTAAATTTTATTCGAAAAGAAGTTAAGTGAATAAATTGTTAGTGACTGAAAACTTGTCATCCAGAAAGTTAATCGAATAGCTTAACTCGAAACTGAAAGTAATAATAGACTGGTTAGAATTCATACGAGTATTTCGTATTCGAGCGGCCCGTAATTCAAATATCGCCATAGAAACCGGCTATTATGAAAGGGTTATTTTTGTTTTCCTCAGTTCCTTCATGCAAGTGCCCAGAAAATACTTCGAAGTCACAACTTTTCATTTCCCCACATGCTTACCGATATACGAATCGCCCTACTACTGTATTTCAGCCTATATCATTTGGCCTCCTGGAAGGGTAATTACATATCTTCATAAATAAATTAACAGGACAAATACTGATCAAGTGTTCTACAGCCTCTCACTCATGTATGAAAATATTGTTCATAGCTCGCAGTGTGCTTCACTCTAGAGTGAGACCGAGCTTTTGACGGCTCACCGTATGCTTCACTCTAGAGTGAGACAAAGCTTTGGATGGCTCACCGTGTGCCTCACTTGAGAGTGAGACCAAGCTTTGGACGGCTCACCATATGCTTTACTTAAGTTACAACAAACCATACTAGGCCACACAATGCTTGATTCGAGTCAAAGTTCTGTACAGCTGACTGCACGCCTACTCACATCAGACTAAGTTGCGCATGGATCACCATATGCTCACTCATGTCAGGCCTAGCTCTGTGTAGCTCACCGTATGCTTCTCGTGATGCTACCGGAGTGGTGGATGCGGATGAACTCGTTGCTTGTGGTAGCAATATGGAAGTAGGACTGCTTCTCATTGACGAAGAAGGTGTCCGGTACCCAGATGTTCTTGATGAACTCGGATCCCACTGACAGGGTCTCCACGCCAGGACGCTTTCGAAACGCAAGCCTCGGGTCCGTCCAGAATTGACGAAAGTAGAAATCCAATGTGAAGTCCTGCGGGTAAAAGAACAGATCCGGGGGCGGGGGGTCAGTCCTGTTTGGCAAGCCCCGCTCCGGAGTGGGGGGCCAAGTCAGCAGCTCTTGCCAAGCAGAAAACATTGTCTGTTCTAGAACTTAATTATCGTACTTTATCTTCGGTTAGGTTGTAGGGAACTGTCTTGACTATGTTCATCATAAGCTTCTCACCGTGGTTGGGAATCGAACCAGCAACCGTTTGTTTTCTAAACTATAATATGAACAGCTTTGTTTTAATATTAAATACTTGATGCCATAGGTATAGCGCACTATTTATAAATTTCAAAATTCTTCTATTAAGAGGGGAGAATAAGGGGAGGGAAATTAAAGTATTGACTCGGTTTATGAAATGAGTTGCATGCGACCACTCCGTCTGGCTCGTGAGTTAATTTCAGGTTAGATTTTTCCGTGGCTCAATTAGCACAGAAACAAAATATTTATAAGACTTGTTTTATGAGTTAGTCTTTTATCGCACTTGAAATAAAATTATTCCACGTAGATTGATAAATTGAAGCGAGATTCCGGTATCACATACTAGGTTACATCCACTAGTGATAAATAATATCTGACATTTGTTGCTCTTAAAAGAACTGGATTTTTATCTAATATTTATTTGTAACGCCACCATTTCATGCAGAGCTATCAATTCCAGACTGCGTAATACAGTTTAATTCTGTAGTTTTATGTTCCCTTGTAACGTTCCGTACACACTTTCGCGTATCTTGATCTGTAGTACGCGTAATACTGAGCTGTTCGTTCGTACAAATAGCCCTGATATTTCAGTCAATCTGTGCCAATGTTTTCTGGAGCTAACGTGATATCCTGCCGACTTTCCATACATGGAAATAATTGATATATTTTGCTCTTCTTTGTCCAGTTATAGGAAAGCAGAAATGCAGTTACAAAGAAGCTTGAAACCTTACTGCACTCTGTTGTATTGTACAGGTAGAATACAGCTCACATGCGCTCCATGTATGTAGACGTCAGAGGATAACACGTATACTGGCTGCAATGCCCACCTGTCCTCTCATCTCTACACTAATAACAAACCATTGAAATGACAGTGACACAACAGCACTGAGCACTACACATATGAGTCCAGTCAGCATGCAGCTGTGACAATTGGAATCCCAAACTCTCGATAACCTAAAAGAGACAGAACCCTATGGCATGAAGTTTTCTTTATCCTGATGAAAATACTCAGCTGAACAACGAGGAATAATTTAATTCGTGAATTTACATGCCTTTGTTTGGAAATGTAAATAAATATATTTAAATGGTTCCTTGAGATATTAGAAATGAAGAGTAAAAGTAAAATAATTTCCTTGTGTTAAATAAACACCGAGATAAGAAGTTTAGGGAATGGAGGTATAGCTCCAGGAATATTTAACCTCGGCACTAGACGGAGGTGAGTGGGCAGTTTCATGCCTCCGGGGGAATTTCCACCGTAATCCTTTCTATAGGAGAATGGTTGGGACCAGATCGGTCTGAAAGCAATGTCGACGACAGAAAGCCCATATGTAATTACTGTACTGATTTAGCTCCTAAAGTTCAAGGTACAAAATGTTGTTTTTATTCGATTACGAACAACAAACAAAAACTAAAAATATTCAGCCGTTCCAAATTTATGTAAAAATATGTAATTCTGCCGTACTATAGAACTTTTTTTTTTTTGTTTATTACAAATTAAAGCATGTAATTCACAGGTATATACAGGTTTAAGCCGAGGTCTGCAAAATCTTGTTTTCACACGTGTTCGTGAAATGTAAAGTTGTTTTCGTTCGATTAAGAACAACAAACAAAATCTAAAAATTTTCAGCCGTTCCAAATTTATGTAAAAATATGTAATTCTGCCGCACTATAGAACGTATGTTTTTTTTTTGTTTATTACAAATTAAAGCATGTACTTCACAGGCATATACAGGTTTAAGCCGAGGTCTGCAGAATCTAGTTTTCACACGTGTTCCTGAAATGTCAATATTATATTGAAACTGTTATTCAGTTATATCTTTGACATACTGACAAACAGTCATTCAATGCATCGATTGTTTGGGATGTCCAGTATCTACATTAGTGTGTGAAAAGCCTCAGACAGCCATCAGCGAGCCACTGTGCCAGTTGCCATGCTTGCATGCAGCGCAGGATGTCACCACCGTATATGACATCTGTTGTGATCCGCTGGGTTATAGCAGCGTCTAGTCTGGAAGGTTTGTACGGGCGTTGCAGTCGGACAGAGTGCCTCCATCCTCCGAAACTACAGTACATACCTAGCAGTCTACGCTGTGCTACAACCCGGAAGTCGCAATGTGGATCTTCACTGCCATGAAAGCTTCAGAGCTTGTGTACCTTGCGGAGTGATAATTTCTGGCATGTGACACCATGTATTATGGTAGAAATTTACCGACGTTTGGCGGGGACGTTCTACTTCCATCTTCAGGATATAAGAATAAGCCGAGCTAGTCAGCAGCAAGAAATTGTATTTGCTACTTGTTACTTGCTTGCCTTACTCTTAGAGCATGAAGGTGAAGGCTTCACGTTTTTCTGCAAGCTCACAGATTTCCAGCCTACACAATACCACATACCAGAAGCTAATACGTTTCGGAGCAATCACTGTGAGAGCATCAGATCTCACATATGTATCTTAAGGACTTGTGATATTTGTGTGACCATTTTACTAATATATTCGTGGGTCTGCTTGTAACACAGTTGTCATATGGTCTGTGATTTGTGATTTTTACTCTTTTGTCGCGTGTACAAATATTTATTACACAGCTTGTGTTGCTTAGGTTATGTGTGGTTTACTAGAAAAGTGCGTGTCATATGTAATACTTACGTGGTGCGATAAAAATTGGTATCGAGAAAAAATAATGCTTACAATGCAAAACCGTATGAAGTGTTGGCATCCAGTTCGGTACTTAGACATGTTTCTCAAAAACTTCATAATCTGATAACAATATACAATAATATAGTGTGAATGTTGTTTTAACTAGTCAATTCTTTTTGCCAGATATCTGAACATTGAGACAATTGAAAAGAATTTGAGAACCGACTATATTATGAGCTTTTTTATTGCTAGTGGGGTGGGACTAAGTCCCTTGTACTGCGGCCACTTCTGGCCTATTGTACCAGTCCCAGATGATAGGTGAGGGTAATTGTGGAGCAATTGGTGGAATGAAGATTGGTAGGGGAAACCTAAGTACTCGGAAAGAAACCTGCCCCAGCGCCACTTTCTCCACCACAAATCCCACTTGACCAGACCCGGGATCGAACCCGGGTCGCCGCTGTGGGAAGCCAGCGACTAACCGCTTGAACTATGGCGCGGCCACTTATATTTTGAGTTTGCGTTGCATTCTGGGGAAAAGGTGTTAATATCCAGACTACATAATTCTCTAAGTGTTGACTTATATACTAATCGCTATATTACAGTCTGACAGAGCTTCTGTGTTTGCACACACAGTATTTATTTTTTCGCTTAATAAATTAATAGCATCAGCATATATAGGAAAACCTAGTCGTAAATTCGAGCGCAGTGTTAAAATTGGACTTAAATATGACATGAGATATTAGATTGGATTCTGCTGGCTTAGGACAGAGGCCAATGGCGGATTCTTGTGAACACGGCAATGAATATAAAGGCAGGTTAGCGGTAGCGTAGTGGTTGAGGGGCTATGCTACAAGCCGGAAGGTCGCCGGTTCACGTCCCGATGAGGTCATTGGATTCTTTTCAATTGACCTAATCCTTCCAGCCGCACTATGGCCCTGGGGTCGAGTCAGTCTCTAACAGAAATGAGTACCAGGAATGAATTAAATAGTTTTCCTGGGGAGTAAAGCGCGGCCGGCGCGTAAGGCTGACAACCTTACCATCACCTGTGAGCCGATTGTCTAGATAATGTGGGACCCTCAACGTCTCACAACCGTATGGTCCTTCACGGCCTGGCACAGGGATAGCTTTAATTTACTTTTACAAGCTTGAATTAAATTTTTAACATGTGGGCATTAATTTTAAAATTCTAAAGAATTGGCTTAACTTGCCACATTTTATCAGAAATATTTCCTTTATTTATGGGAACAAGAAACATATATTGCAGTTCTGGTTCTGATACACTCGTAGATATGGTTTCAAGAGAGAACACTTGGCTTTCTCCAGATTGTTTCGCTTGTGAAATTTAATCAAATGTGATCATACCTGGCTATCTACCATTAAGCATATATTTCAGTTTCCATCTGCCTGCCATTCGATCGCCCTGCACGTTAGTAATAACGAGGTGTACTGCAGCAGTTTCTTTCCTGAATAACAATCATGAGCTCTTATAAGCGCCAGTTTGAATTCTCGATTTCCATAACTAATTAAATAAAATAATTCGTTGTCATTCGCATGTCTCAACCACTTGTTATGAATAAACAGGATCAACTTGAATAACTGACTAACTCGATGAAACAGTCTCTTCTTAAAATACTAAGAATCATTCGGGTACTCATGAAATTATCCACATTTTAATGGAACCCGAAGGTTCTGTATCATGTTCAGAAGAATCCACCCTTGTGCCTGCCCTGAGGAACATGGTTCAGTCCACGCCCTCACACCCCATTTATTTAAAATTCATGGCACTTTTATTCTCTCATCTAAGCCTAGGTCTTCCAAATGCAATATTCGTTCCATGTACTTGGACTATAAACTTGTAAACCTATGTGCCCTAACCAGTTCACCTTACTTGATCTGACCACACTTACAGCACTGATTATCAGAGATGCGAAGACGTAAAGTAAAACTAATATTTTACATGTTGATGTCAAATAGAGACAGAATTTTCATCAAGTTACAGTTATATATATCATTTTAAGGAGAAGTAGTGCGGCAATAAATATGACGTTTCATTAATAAGTGTAAGACTATTATTATTTAAATAAAGTCATGATTTACATTTGTGTAATAGGCTGGTACATGAATGTACTTCATATGTATTGCATAAAGAATAGCC